AACGGTTTTGGTTAATGCATGGCTGACGGAAGGAGAGCGAAGTTCTATTTAAAGGAACCATTAATTCTTAAGTTTTTAAAATATCATATAATTTATAACACATTTGAATGCATGTACATTGAAAAACAAGTCTTTCACACCTGTTTGGTTTTAGGAAATATTTTTTTGTTTTTATTTTTTGAAAATGGCTTTTATTTTTAAATTTTTAAGATTTGAAAAATGTGTTTAGGTTGAATTTTTTTTTTACATAGAAAACTTTCAAAATGCATTTGATTTAACTATATTTTATAATAGATTTATTTATTTTTATATTAAATTTAAAATTAATCCTTATTTTATTAATAAACAATTTTCACTATAAAATTTTTATAATATATAATCTTATTAATGTCAATTTTATTGTATTATTTATTTAACAAATATAATATGTCTTAAGACTCAAAAATAATATAAATATAAATTCTTACTGATGTATCTTAATATATATAATATATATTCTTCCTAATGTATCTTAAGATTCAAAAATAATATAATAATAATATAAACATAATTATAATTTAGACTATGTGGATGCACATATTTATTTTAATATAAATTTATTAATATAATATATATTCATTCGTTTTAATAAAAATAGATTTAAAAAATTAAAAAGTTTATATTATTTTTAATTTTGTTTTATTTAATTATAAATATTCTAATAATGTGTATGTGTATTCTATGTTCCAAAAATTATTGTTAAAATATAAATATATTAAAAATTTTAAATTATAATTACAAGTGTAATAATAAAAAATAAGAAAAGAGTATAAATATGAATTTTTTAAATTTATTTATTAATTTATATTAATAAAATATATAAAAATTATAAAAATAATATAATACATAGATAAATATTTATTAAAAATAAAAAAGTATTTAATATATGAGAAGTACTAAGTGAAAAGTGTAAATACATAACATTTTAAATTTTGTACATATCAATGTAACGCAATAAAATAAAAGTTAAAAAAAATTGGTATGAATAATATTGCAACTTAGTAAAATAAAAAATTAAGAAAATAATATAAATTAATATTATAGGCCTCAATTTTAATTTATAATATATATTAGATTCACTGGTTGAATGACATTAAAACTATATAAAAATTAAAAAATTTATGTGCAAAGATATAAAAATAATAATGTTTATCAAAATTTTAATGACATCAATTATACAAAAATAAAAATATAAAGACAAAACAATACCAAAAAACTTTATCATTGTATTTAAAAAAAAATTATGGAAAAAAACGAAGAGAGATAGATGTGAACAAAAGTTGAAAAAAAAAATACTTATAGCAAGCAATAAAAAATAAAGGAAAGGGCGTAGTTGAGTATAAAATAAAAAGCGCGAAATCAACAAAATTTAATTAAAATTATATGATATTTATAATGATGTTATAATGGTTTTTATTTTTCTTATGTTTAAGTGTTTTCATTTTCAAATAAAAGGTTTAATAAATTAACTGAAGTTGGTCTGAGTAGTAAACAACTTGATATTGCTTAAGTAAAGTTTCGAGTTTAAATTTTTATGTATACAAAAAATCTTCACTGGTAAACTCATTCACCATATCTAGGTTCGCAACCGAAATCAGATTCAGATTAAACTCGGATGAGAACAAAAAATAATTAAAACAAGTTCATTTTTATTTTTAAATTTGGGCTGGATTTTTAAAATGTTTTGAAAAATATTATTTTCTAAAACCTAAACAAACATATTTCTTTTTTTATTTTCTACTTCTATTAAAAATAAAAACAGAAAATGAGTAAACCAAACAAAGCCTTAATTTTTTGGGTAAACATTCTATAAATTGACAATTAGAGAAAATAATTTAATGTAATGTTTGCATGGGAAAAGATGCTCTCTTGGAACATAATATGTTATGTGTAAGTTTGTATTTACCTTCAGTTATTTAACATCTATTAAGAGAAAAATAAATACAAAATTTATACATGACCTTATCACATGAAATTTCAGCACGAGAGAACGTATTTCCTATATGCATAAACATAGAAAAAGAAAGATGGAATAACTTAAGCCTGAATGAACGCACTTACCCACCAAAGTAAAAAAAATTGATAAATGATGTAACTTTTCGCTCGTAACTTTTCATGCCCTCAATTTCTTACTAGACAGTTTATAGTATAATACGAGCATGGTTTTTATAATAAGAAAAATTATAATTAGAGTGAGAAGCCAAGTATGTAATCTTTCGTTAAACTCCAAAAATATCTTAAATTTCCATTTAAAGTAAAAAATGTCACTTGTGTAAACTTTTGTTCATGTGCATTAATTCGGTGAAAGCAAGTATACTATAATGATCACATAGAATATAGTGTGCCATAATTTGTATACCTTTATAAAAAAATAGTTCTATATACCTAATAACATAAATTAAATTAAACTAAACCGAGGGATAAGTTGATTACTTGACCGGCATAAAGCTGAACAAATCTCAAAACAAACTTTTCCATATATAAATATGATCCTATTAAGAAAATAATAAAGACAATAATTTTGAAGAAAAGCAATAGATGTGATTGTATTAGAAATCACAATGAAGTGTACGAGTAATATATTTTATAAAAAAAATTACATTTGTTACTTAATTTTAAAGAGCATTTGTTAGCATTCTCCATTTAAATATTAACACCAGTAGCCACAGGACATTGTAGAAAAATGAACGAAACATTACTGTACAAATTCTCCCAAAAAGATGTATAATAATAGTCGCTGAAAATATTTGCTAAAATTATATATCTCTTACATGGATTGATTTTATTACAAGATTTGCACAATGTATGTGCCTGTTCCTATCTAACTTTTGTGTAAGAAAACAAAGTTAGGTGGCTGAATGGTTGGTCAATATTTGGTACAAATCTAAAATTTAAGTTACTCAAACGTTTATCGTAACCATAAACGGAAGCTTTTGTGACAAAAATGTGTATGCCGTGGTAATATAAAGTGACTAATTAACAGATAATATAGACAAATTTCCTACGATATTTTAATTTATGAATGATCAAAACATGAAAGCTCTTTTACTGAACATGTAACGGTGGATCCTATATATATAGCTACATCTACATGCAAACAAGGAATCATTGTAAATTTGTCGTACAGGTTTGGCAAAGCTTACCTATCATACTCACGTTTTTAGGTCAAGCGCTATAGACAATTGTTATGGTATCGTATCAGTGCACCCCACAAAATTGCCTTTTACTATCAAGTTAGGGGCCATGGTACGTGTGAGGCTTAAATCTGGCTTAGCTGGTCATTCCAAATGAAACCCATCTTTATTGTTTTGCTAAGTAAACCCATCACTATTTAGGTGAAAAGGAAAAAGCTTTCCAAATTAAACCCATCACTATTAAGGGCTTTCCTTATATAAGCGGGAATCACTTTGCATTGGTTTGATTTTCAATGTTACCTGATAAACAGTGAATTAGGTAAACAGCGAAAAAGTAAATTACATGAAGGTTTATCAAATCATGTTGCAAACTTGGTGATAAATTGCATTCAATCCCTTTTATATTTGACTGATTTTGATATTGATATTATCAAGTAATTAAAAAAAGGTGAAATTCGCTTGTTATTGATTACAAAAATCAGCTTGATGGTTGTCGAAGACAAAAGTAAAAAAACAAAGTGTAATTTATAAGCCAACAAAATTCTATTAATAGGAGTGAGCACAAGAAATACTTTAACCTATCAATATGCAAAGAATCAAACCATTTGCCAACAATATTGTTTAATGCAGTCAAACGAATTGATGCACTAATTTAAAAATAGCATAATATAGGACTGTTAACTTTATTGACAAGCCATGACCAAAACCTAATCTTAAGCACATATAGTGTTTGATCGAGTTTATTTTGAGTTTATCTTTGTCTTAAGAAAATAAATAAATAAATAGTGCTAAATAACTTTTTTTTCAATTTGAAAAAAAAGGTAAAAGGAAAGTTTTAAAAAATAATTTTAAGAAGATTTTGGCTTTCACTTCACACTTCAAACTTCTAGATCTAATAACACATTATCTAAAAAATTTTAACTTAAAGTAATTTTTCAGCTTAAAAAATTACTAAAAAAAATCAAATAACTTTAACTTTGAACTTAAAGCTCATATTTTTTAAATTAAAGAAAATTTTAAGCTCCAAAAAAGTTAAACCAAGTATTAGTTTAATTAAAATCAATAGCCTAATGTTTTGGTTAAATCTAAATAAACATTTATTTATTTTTTAAATTTTTTATAAAGTTATAAGCGATTATTGTTTTTGGAATGAGTTAAACCATACATACACTAATTTGATCACGTGACTCCTTCCGAAAAATTATTTGATTAGGCAATAAGCAAAAGGAGCAAATTACTGTCTGTCAAATGATTAGTCGAACTTATTTTTGACTCATTTTTCTGCCAGTACTTTAGAGTAAAAAAAACATCTCTTACCTTCTTCCATTGAATTTGTTATCAACTTTATGCATCATGATTGTGTCCGACTTTAATTATATTTTTAATAAAAATACTTTTTGAACAATGTAGAATTTATTTGCTTTTTTAATATTTTATATTATATAATTAATGAAAATGAGTGAACATAAAAATAATTGCATATAACGTCATATTTAACACGGCTAACTTTCGATTCAAATATCAGATTATATTATTAGTCTAAACAGTATATAAAAGTAGCATATTTTTGTACTCTTAAATGATATTTTCTAGGTCAACCGAAACCGTCAGTAATTAATTATTACATGATTGAATAGTACATACAGTAAAAAGAAAAGGTAAATTTTAGTTATGACTTATGAGACCAACTTAGTTGTTAAAATCTATTGACGGAGGAGATCAAGTTTCGCTTTTATAAATACACATTCTAGGGTTAGGGCTCCGCATATCCATCACAAGTAAGTTACACCCTCTCTCCCTCTCTCTCTCTCTACCTTATTTCTTCCTATGCCAGTTTCTGATTTCAATTCACCAAACCCCCTTAAAAATTTTCATATAATCTTTTCAGGGTTTGAAGCAGGCAAAGGTAGAGAAGAATTTGAAGGATACTAGGTGTAAAATGAGGAAGCGTCAAGTAGTTGTGAGAAGAGAAGAACCTCAAAGAAGTGTTAGGAGTGTGAAATATGGTGAGTGCCAAAAGAATCACGCGGCTAATGTTGGAGGGTATGCTGTTGATGGCTGCAGAGAGTTCATGGCCAGTGGTGGAGAAGGGACAAGTGCTGCTCTCACTTGTGCTGCGTGTGGATGCCACAGAAACTTCCACAAAAGAGAGGTTGAAACTGAAGTAGTGTGTGAGTGCTCCTCACCTCCCTCCAATGGAACCTGAGAGTTGTTTATACTTCAACAATTATGCTATTCCTTGTAATATATTTTGAGGACTTCGCTTTTGCTTGTTAAGAATTTGGATTTTAACATACTGCTGAACTGGTTTTGATATTCTAGAATTATATTCTAGAATAACGTATGTGGTTTCATGGTTGATGTGTGTAAAGGGAAAAGAGCAAAGGTAATCACAAGTTGTTTCTTTTATGAACAGTGCAAAATTGTCCATCTTCTCTTCTTCTTGCTTATTTGGTTCAGATTAATTTGAAGAAATAATTACTTATTGTCATTAGTCAGAAAAAAGCTTATGACAAAAAAAAGTAATTATTTCTAAGAAATATTTTATTTCCAAACATCCAAGTTACTCAATTAAACTAGTTTTTTGTGATGGATATTTTTCTTTCTAATATTAATTTTTCCTTTTATCTTCACCTTGTGTAAGTTATGTTATGGAATTGCTAAATATGGCTACTCGATAAAGTAGTTCTCGTTTGAAATTTGATGAGGAAAATCGGTTTTTGTTTTACCTTCTTCGATTCCTGTGTCTTTTCGTGGGATGCTGATTTTGATTCCATTCCAGATCATATCCTTTCAGGCTTCCACACTATACCAAACCCCACTTTGCTTTGCCCTCTCTGTCCATGTTTTTCCTTTTTCTATTTTGGTATTGTTTTCACTGACTTAAATTTTCTTCCATGATCAAAACAGTGTTTGGGATCACTTTTACTAAATCTTGCATGCCATTTCCCCCGAGTATGCAACTTTGTGTCGTGTGTAATAAATTGGTAAAAGTAGTAATTATAGCATTATAGCGTTCCTATATAAAAAGTTGCATTTATCTTCTAAGCAAACTTTATGTTGCTAATCACAATTTCATCATCTATTTCACGCTCTCTTAATCCCCTCAAAGGCACTAACTGGTTTTGGTATGTTCTACAACAATTATCACTAATAAACATCCACTAACCAGTGTCGTTTGAGATCACTTTGATTAGTTTGACGGTCCACATGTCTAATCATGTTGGTTGTTGACATAAAGAAGTTTCATTAGCTACTTATTAAAAGTTGATTCAAGCTAGATCAAACTAAATAGGGGGGGAAATTATCATAGAAACGCATTAAATATGCATGATTTAAGTGTTGAGTGTTATCTCTCTATTGATTACGAGAATTAATCAAAATAAAAATAACAAAAGAAGCTATAATAGGATACCTAGTCTAGCTATATACATATATTCCAATAATATAATATATGAAGGAGTTCCATATGTTCGGTTGAACCCTAAAAACAGTTAAAGCACTAATGCAACTTTGTATAGAAAAAAAAAAAAAACTAAAGATCATGGGGGTGAAATTAGAAACGCGTACATACCTTAAGCATATGGTGATAGACAATTTCATGTAACACTTGAACAGAATGTCACAAACACCAATCGTTTTTGCTATGAAGCAAGTGGCTGCTAACTAAAATTAACATGTAGAATGTGCAAAGGGGAAGATATTTAGAGGACACTTGTTGTGCCCTATAGCTAGCTTTCACAAAAGGGGATAGCAAAGTACCACTTTTTGTATGCATAGATATTTTCCATGTGAGGTGCTGCAAGCAAAAGTGGGCAAGTTAGGCATTAGAGCATGGAATGGATACAATGTTTCAGGTATACGTTAATACTGAATCAGGTAGATGTCTATTCTGAAAATGTATTCCATTAGAAGTAGTTGTCCCGAGCTTGCCAGCTACATTTGAAATGATAAGGCTAAAGGACTCTTCCTCCACTTCACTTTTTTCCGAAATGAAGAAATTTCCAAGCTATTTATTACTAAGATGGTGTCTTTCATTTGTTGAGCAGAAAATAGGAATTAGTGCTATATATGTAAATTTTGTTTTCCTATACACGTTTCATTGCACTAAAATTCTAAATTTCGTAGAAAAATTTATAGTCCATATGGATATTTGGTTGAAAATAAGTATATATAGGATAGTAGAATGGCGCTGGTACCAGTGTTGTGATGATCATGTTGTGACAATTATTTTTTGGTGTGAAATAATTTTTGAATGAAAATGAATACCTGGAAAATGAATGCCTGATAACTTTTAATTCAAGTTAAGAATCAATTTGATTAAATTTTGCAATGAGTACTTAACAAATAAAATAAAAATGAATCAGCGTTTATATATGTGCCTTTTCAAAAGCGGATTATTCATCTAATTTTTTATATATACCTGAAAAATTAACAAATTCGACATTTATTTTCTTAGCAAATTCATTATGAATAAAATTTTTCAATTAAAATGTTTCAATAAAATAAATTTAATCCAAATTGAGCTTATTTCGGAGTTGAGCTGAACAAATAACTCAGGTGTTAAACTATGAGAGCTTATTTTTCATTTACAAGCATTAGATTAACCTAAGACTTTGCTTAAATAAATTGAACTTTCTCACCATTCAAATGGTCTTGTAATAATATTAAAGCTTCAGATTATTTTTCTGTTTTATTTAAAAACAGAAATACGAGTACCATCTTTTGTGTGTCATCTCAATGTTCTAAAGCTAACAATTCACAGTAATCAATTTATTTATAATTCACTCCAGCCATCTCCCTCCATTCCTTTTATTAATTACTTTTACTTAAGTATTGTATAGATTCGTCTATTGATGCATCACTTTTCTTTGTTTTATTAATAATGTTGCTGGATAAATATGTACTTGAATTATTGTATCATATAATGTAATCAATTCATTCACCAAGCTGTCTTATTATTCCCTTCTCCACAAATTTGTTTTACTGCAACCCAACACCATCCATTAACACTTTTTCCCTCTCAAAGTTTTTCTTAAGTTCCGCTTTTGATCATGACAATCTTAACCTTTTGAGATATGAGTTCTTCAGTTAACAACACTAGCAAAGCTGTCAACAAAAGAGGAATTCGCACTATTAGTTAAAACAGGCTCCACATAATCATACTTTTCTTTTTTTCACTTTTTCAGCTTTTAAAAGTTTATCAAAACAACCTTTTAATTGGAGCAGACAATATAGATTGACCATGATGAATTACCTTATTTAAGGAGTCAAAAATGGTGGGTTAATTTACTAACTTGTCTAGCCCACCCTGCCAATCTCCGGTTGGGATAGAATGGAACAAACTTCTTTTTCTCACTGATTTTAGTTTCTTTATATATATATGTCTTTTAAAGATTTTAACATAAACTCGTTAGTCACTATTTCGAAATTCTTACTCTTATTAATACTTTCATCTTTATTTCATTACCGTTTAAAAATGCTTTTTTTCCTGTTTATTTAATTTTTATATACTACCTCGTATCTTAAATATAAAACTCATTTAATCACCTCATAAGAATTTTTATATATAAGTTCATTAATGACATTAAATCTATCAATTATTTGAATTTTTAAATTTATTCTTAAAATTATTGATATCCAATTATGCCTTACTTTCTTTCACCTAATTAATTATTTTATATTCACTAAAGATATTTTTGCAAGATAAATAATCAATACAAGTAACAACTTGAAAGGAATCTCATAAAAGGACTGCGGCAAACTTCTAAAAAAAGTTATATATTTTTTTTATTTCTTTATATTTAGAAGCATAGGCATTATTATTATTATTATTATTATTTCTTGATCCACCAACTCATCATCAACGAGCAAGGTTGGTCTTAAACTCACTTTTAAAAATAGATCACCCTATTTATCCTTTTTACGGTATAAGTTACATAAAAAATAAATAAATAAAATAGTTAACAACTTAATGTTAATTAATTCAAGTTTTATTTCCTAATACAATTGTGTCATTCATATCTATAGACGCAAAAAAGACTAAAAAATAAACAAAAGAAAAAACATTTTTTAAACAAAATCCTTTCATTATATGGTGAGATTAATTGCTTATAAAATGAGACTGATAAAATAATTAACTATTTTATTTTATTTTATTATTAATAAAAACACAAGGGTTACTCCATCCCTTACATCAAATTATTTTGCCTAATCACATTAATCAATACAAGAAAATAGATTTGATAACCAATCAATGTAAGAAAAGGAGATCCTCCCAATCTAACTCTAATTTAAAAGTGGTAAAACGCCCTGCTCAATTCGAATCGAGCTAGCCCAGTTTGCACTTTTATTTATTAAGTTAGATTAAAAAAATTCATTACTATTGAAGTCTTAAAATAAAATTATAAATTAAACCCAAACTTACAATTTAAAAGGTTTTACAAAACATAACTTCTCAAAAGAAACGATGGCAGGGGAAGGAGTATGAGGGAAGCACAAGAGTGCTCAATGCTAATCATTGTCTAAAAATTTTCGACTTTGGAATTTTGTGGGTCTTTGAAAGTCTTTCGATGATTATATTTTGCCGAATGGAGATATATGATTTGATTGATTGAGTAAAATGTGTGGTAATAATATGGTGGAAACATTTGAAATTCAAACCTCTTACAAATTACTCAACTTTCTTTAAAAAATTAACAAATATCCACCATTATTTGTACAGTTGTACATATCACAAATTTAATCAAATGCTTTTAATGAAGTGTTATATTTTTATTTTAATAATACATTTCGAAATTAGTGAACAATTTGAAAAAAAAAATTGCAAAAACAAAGTAAATTGGTAACTTCTCAATTTAAGCGCTTAGCAACATTTCGTTTCCAATTGAGTGTGAACTGTTTTAAAGATAGCTTAAAATGTAATAGTTATTTCATAAAATGTTTCTCTTAAGCATGAGTATGCAGATTTGTGATGTTGTATACATGACAAAATTAGTGAGTACCATGAAATAAACTTACTTGATGCTGTGAGATTCTGGCCCAACTCAGTTCTCCTGGAAAGTGATAATTTATATTTGGAGAGTTTTGTTAAACAAAATTCAAACCAAAGTTAATTTGAAACATCGTGAAAACCTGAAAACAACAATGCTAAGTCCTGTTCTTTTTTTGTAATACATAGGATAAGACTTTCAAATCATTGGTTTT